TCCCTCCCTCCCTCTCTTCCTTCCTTCCTCCCTCCCTCTCTTCCTTCCTTCCTTCCTTCCTTCTCCCCTCCCTCCCTTTCTTCCTTCCTTCCTTTCTAAATTCCTCAGGGAATTCTACCCCGGATGACCCAGGATAGTGGGGAAAGGTCTCCCACATCTGGGGTCCTGATGATTAAGACACCCAAGAGGGACCTTTTGTTCCACATGGGGATCAGAGTCCCTGGCTTCACCTCTTACTAGCTGTGTGGTCTTTGGTGGGGGGGTCACATCACGTCTCCAAGGATCAGTTTCTTCATCTATAAAAAGGGCTCAAGAAACACACTTACTGGGGCACCTGGGTGGCTCAGTTGGTTAAGCGGCCGACTCTTGATTTTGGCTCAGGTCACGATCTCAGGATCATGAGATCGAGTCCTGTGTCGTGTTGCAGGCTCAGCACAGAGTCTGCTTGAGATCCTCTCTCTCCTTCTCCCTCTGCTCCTTCCCCCACTCACTCTCTTTCTCTCTCTCTAAAATAAATAAATTAATAAAATCTTTAAAAAAAAGAAAAGAAAAGAAACGCACCTACTTCTTAAGACAGTCATGAGGAGTCACTGAGACTCTACGCATGAAGCACCTGGCATGGTGCTTAGCACTTAGTAAATGTGCAGTTAATGACAGTTATGGCTATTTTGAAGAGGCTACTGCATGAATATCCTTCCAGAACAAACTCCTTTTCTTGGGGCAGTAGGGTTCAGTCTCTGTTCCAGGCAACCAGATGCATTTTGGCCTGATCTGCCTGAGAACTGGTGAATGGGTAGGTAGAATGTGAGATCAAGGCCTGGAAATCCCCTTGGCTTACCTTTGTCCTCAGGTGGCAGGAAACTCCCTACCAAGGGTCTTTGATCTGGCCAGGAAGCTGGGGCCCAGGAAGGCCTGCCCAGGGAGGGATGCTTCAGGCTCAGGCTGAGGGTGGCAGGTAGGGAGGGAGATCATCTTCCATGGAGAGAGCGCTCACCCGGTGTGTGTCCGTAGACCCCAGTGGTCTGCCCACGATGGGAAATGAAGACACCAATTTTGCAGTGCTGGGAGCTGGTGACACACGGTTGCCCCTTAGATATTTTCCGGGTGGTTCAGGAGCTACACGTTGGTTAACACACGAGCCCCCCCAGGGAACTAGGAGAAGAGCTTGCCTTGTAGAGACCAAGTTTGCGGACTGGCTGCTCCTGGGCCAGAGTCACCCACAGACAGCTTTTACTTATTTGTTTAGAATTGAATATGTTGCCAACATTTGTTTCAATGTGGAGATTATAGATGAGGAGGTCTTGAGAAATCAGATCCGGCAACTGTGGGCCCACCTTCCTGCGAGGCAGCCATGGGCTGAATTTGATCAGCCTGTTCATTGGGACACAGGAAGGCCAGTTTTTTACTGTTCTGTGAGCGTTCCCTGCCTGGCACGGATGGCCTCTGAGGTTGGATCCCTCGCAGAGCTGCCAAGAAGGAGAGGCTCCAGTGTTTATGGTTCAAGACAGAGTGAAGTGAGGATTGGGGTTGGGGGGGGGCGGCGAGATGTAGACCTCCTGGGGACACAGGTGGTGTCTGAAGCCATTTCCAGTCACTACGACTCCAGGAGGGTGCTGCTGGCCTCTAGTGGGTGGAGGGCAGAGATGCTGCTCAGTAGCCCCCGGGGCACCTCGGGCAGCTTCCACAATATGGCCTTACCCAGCCTCAACGGTCAGAAGAGACCTGGGATTAGGGATGTCAGCAAACTGCTCAGGAAGGGAGGGATCGGCTTGAATCATTAGCTCAAGAATGTCTCCCTGAACAGAAGCGGCCTCGGTGGTGGCAGGCACTTGGTCACTGAGCCAGGTTTCAACAGGGAGGGATCGGGGGAAACGCACGTCAGGCCAAGAACAGCACGAGCAAAGGTGAGGGAGGAAGGCGGGCGAGAATGTGCACAGTGAGATGACACGAGTGGTTCAAGAGCAGGAAGTCTGGGGTCAGATGGACATGAATTTGAATGCTGGCTCTACCCCGCACTGGCCATGTGGCCTCAGGCCTGTCATTGGCCTGAACCTCCCTCACATCACCTGAAAAATGGGGCTAAGAAATGAGGTTATGTGGGTACAGCCTCGTCTCATCCGTAGTCCTCCATTTGCACCCTGCATCCCAGCCACCCTGAAATCCCGGCAATTTGTTCAACGCTTCCTGCTCCCTCTCTCCTCTCTGGGCTCTCTGTGTGGAGTGCCCTCTCTCCCTAGGATGCTCATATTCCAGGTGTATGGATAACACCATCAGGAGGCTTAAACCAGGCACTGATATGTTCAGACTGGTGTTTTGGAAAGATCAGGGAACTTGAGGGTGGCGTGTGCCCGTGTGTGTGTGTGTGTGTGTGTAAACTTGAAGGCCAAGAGAATGGTGGAAATTCCTAGGCTTGGACAAGAGGCATGGGAACCTCTGCCTTTATCCCAGCTCCTTTCCCCGTCTTCTCTGGCCTTCACATACCTAGGGAAAGGCCAGTGGGGACCCACCACACACAAAGGGTTGGATTTTCTTTCTTTTTTTTTTTTATGATTTTATTTATTTATTTGAGAGAGAGAGAGTGAGCACACACACAAGCGGGGGAGGGGCAGAGGGAGAGGGGAAGCAGACTCCATGCTGAGCAGGGAGCCCGACGTGGGGCTCCATCCCAGGATCCTGAGATAATGACCTGAGGCAAAGGCAGGTGCTTAACTGACTGAGTCATCCAGGTGCCCCAAAGGGTTGGATTTTCTATTGGTTAATGTGCCTGCTTCCTTCTCAACCCAGTGGCCTGGTTCAGAGATGAGGTGTAGAGGCCAGGACCCCATAGAGGTTATTGCAAGAAAGCTCAAGGGTAAGCTGCTTAGTTTTCATGAGCCTGTTTCCTTATCTGGGTAGAACACAGTCTTTACAGGGTGTGGGAGAATACTCCCTACAAAGCTCTTAGGACAGGGCCTGGCTCAATGTCTTAACTGCTTTATAAAGACCAAGCTCTTGCTGAATACCCGCTGTGTGCTCTCTGTATGCAGTACAAATATGTATGTATGTACTGCCAGAGGTCCTACGAGTACAAAGTCTCTTTACTAAGGACTGGTCTTGACTTTAAGGATTTGCCTGGTTAAGGATTTGTGGATTTTGCTAACTGGAGACATACAATGTTGAGGGAGAAATTCCATTTCTAGGCATTTATCTGCAACATATGTACAAAGATTCAGGTCCAAGTAGGTTCACAGTAGTGATTTTATAAAATGAAAAATTTGAAATGGTCTTAATGTTCAACTATAGGATACTGATTAAACAGGTGGTCTGACTAATGGAATATTACACAGTCATTTAGGAGGAAGCAGAGGGATATTTGTTATGAGAAAATATTATTAAGTGAAGAAATATAGAAAACATTGTAGGGCGCCTGGGTGGCTCAGTTGGTTAAGCGACTGCCTTCGGCTCAGGTCATGATGATCCTGGAGTCCCAGGATCGAGTCCCGCATCAGGCTCCCTGCTCGGCGGGGAGTCTGCTTCTCCCTCTGACCCTCCCCCCTCTCATGCTCTCTCTCTCTCATTCTCTCTCTCAAGTAAATAAATAAAATCTTTAAAAAAAAAAAGAAAAATATAGAAAACATTGTATATCAAAAATATATATGGGCACCTGGGTGGCTCGGTCGTTCAGCGTCTGCCTTCAGCTCGGGTCATGATCCAGGGTCCTGGTATCTAGCCCCGCATCAGGCTCCCTGCTCGGCAGGAAGGCTGCTTCTCCCTCTCCGTCTCCCCCTGCTCTGTTCCTTCTCTCGCTCTCTCTGTCAAATAAATAAATAAAATCTTAAAAAAAATGTATATATTTTTAAAATATGGATGTTAATTCACTCAAAAGTTAACAGTGGATATCTGGGAGTGATTTTTTTTTTAAGATTTTATTTATTTATTTATTTGAGAGAGAGAGAGAGTGAGAGAGCACAAGAGGGGGGAGTGGGAGAGGGAGGAGCAGACTCCCCGCTGAGCAGGGAGCCCAATGCGGGACTCGATCCAGGGACTCCAGGATCATGACCTGAGCCGAAGGCAGTCGCTTAACCGACTGAGCCACCCAGGCGCCCCTCTCTGAGTGATTTTTACAATTTTTTTGTTATTCCAGATTTCCCTTTCTAAATGTTCTACAATGAATGTGCATTTCTTTTGTTATTTTAGGTTTTAAATTATTTTGTTATTAAAATATAATAAATAAAAATAGTACTGAAAGGGGCAATTTTTAAATTAATTTTATTTTATTATGTTAGTCACCATACATTATATCATTAGTTTTTGATGTAGTGTTCCATGATTCATTGTTTGCATATAACACTAGTGCTCCATGGAATACGTGCCCTCCTTAATACCCATCACCGGGCTAACCCATCCCCCCATCCCCCTCCCCTCTAAAACCCTGTTTGTTTCTCAGAGTCCATAGTCTCTCATGGTTCGTCTCCCCCTCCGATTTCCCCCCTTCATTTTTCCCTTCCTACTATCTTTTTCTTTTTTTTTTAACATATAATGTATTATTTGTTTCAGGGGTACAGGTTGTGATTCATCATTCTTACACAATTCACAGCGTTCACCATAGCACATACCCTCCCCAGTGTCCATCACCCAGCTCCCCCCATCCCTCCCACCCCCCACCACTCCAGCAACCCTAAATTTGTTTCCTGAGATTAAGAGTCTCTTATGGTTTGTCTCCCTGTCTGGTTTCATCTTGTTTCATTTTTTCCTCCCTTCCCCTATGATCCTTTGTCTTGTTTCTCAAATTCCTCATATCAGTGAGTTCATATGATACTTGTCTTTCTCTGATTGACTTATGAAAGGGGCAGTTTTACCAGCTGTCCCTGTCCTCATCCCAGCCTTCTCCCTTGACTCGATTCTTCATCACTCCCAAAATACATGGGCTCATCAAGCTACTATTCCTTCCAGTATTGACTAGTATTGATTAACCTCAGAGTAATCCTACTATGCAAGGCGATGTAAAGACGAATACTCACATTCTCCAGGTGACTTGCATGCACATCAAATTTTGAGATGCGTTGAAACAAGTTCTTTCCCTCCCTCCTTCATTTATGTATTCTCTTGTAATTCGCTTCACCCATTCATTCAAGGGCTGGGAACGTTTATTTACTTGACGTACGCATGCGCACTCCCGAAGGCTGGAGGAGGCCGCTGGACCGGGAAGCCCCGCCTCCTGACGCCGACCATTGCTCCGTTTCACCAGAGCGCCTCTGATTGGTGGCCACGGTCCGGGCCCCGCTGCCTATCAAAGTTGGCGGGAAAGCGGAAGCCCGGCAGCATGGCGGCCGCGGCTGCAGGGGCTGGGGACTCGGCTCCCGGCGGCGGCCCAGCGGCCGTGCGGCTACCGCGGTCGCCGCCGTTCAAGGTCCTGGCGGAGCAGCTGCGGCGCGACGCGGAGGGCGGCCCGGGTGCGTGGCGGCTGTCGCGGGCGGCGGCGGGCCGCCGGCCCCTGGAGCTGGTGACCGTGTGGATGCAGGGCACGGTGGTGGCGGCGGGCGGCGACGAGGCGCGGCTGCGGGACCCGAGCGGGGCCTTCTCAGTGCGCGGCCTGGAGCGGGTGCCGCGCGGGCGGCCCTGCCTAGTCCCAGGTAACGGCCGGACTCGGACGCGGAGCTGACCCTGGTTGTGGGCGGTCGGGGGGCGGGGCTGGGCGGTCCCTGGCCGGTCCCCCGCCACGGTACCGTTTCTTTCTGTTCCCCGCCCGCGGCCAGGCCCAAGTCCCTTTACCACGGATGATTTTTTCCTCTCCCCCATCAAGTTTTGAAAAACGCTGTTACCAGGAAGCCTCTGTTCATCCCTAACGTTTAGACTCGAGTGTGCCTTCCTCCTGGAAGCCCTCCCTGACTTCTAGGAATAGAAAGCTCTCCAGTACCTCTCCTTCTGGGAACTGTCTTAGGCTGTAGTTCTCAAATGTTTGCCTCTTAAATCAGCGGGGTGCTCAGACTTACCCCGAGGGCTTGTTACGTCGCAGAGATCTGGCCGCCACCCTCAGAGTTTCTGTAGGTCTGGGTGAGGCTGAGAATTTGCATTCTAACCAGCTCCCTGGTGTTGCTGATGCGGATGGCCTGGCTGTGGGGCCACACTTTGAGAAACACTGGGCTAGCCCACTGGAGGACCAGGACTGTCTTTATGACCTCTGTATCTTCAGCATTATGTTGAATTCCTGGCTCTGTTCTTTTCCAGCTGAACCGCTGGAGCACTTTTCTTAACCTTTCTGGATCTGTCCAGCCTGGGTCAAAAAGGGGCCTGTTGTGCAGATTCAGTTAAAAGAAAAATGGCCTCAACACAGTGCCGGGCTCACACTGAGGGTTCAAGACTTCATGACTGTCATTCCTGTGCTCCTGTTCCCCACCCCTTGCCCCATTCTTCAGCCTCCTCTCTCTGTCCTCTCCGCTGTTGCATTATTGAAGCACAGGATCAGCAAACCACAGGCTGCTGCCTCTTCAAATGGCCACGAGCCTTTTTTTTTTTTTTTTTTTTTTTACATTTTCAAATGGGTCAAAAAATCAGAGGACGATTTCATGACATATGAACAGCCTAAGAAATTCAAGTACCTGGAGGCCGGAGCTACATTTGGGAAAAATCACGGCACCAGCAGGGTGGGGATGGTTGTGAAGAGGAAGCAGCTGGAGGCGGACCTACTGGAAGCGGTTGGTCTGGTCCAGGCCAGCGGATGAATGCCTGGTGGAAAGGGGGGGGTGTGGTGGAGGAGTGGGGAGAGAGTGGGGAGACACTGCTGGGGGCAGAGAGGGTGTGGGTAGAATGAACCCTATTAACCAGGCTGTCTAATTGCCAGAGGAGCGAGCTCATGCCAGTGAGCTAGCCCATCCCCTTAGTTGTGTGTGCCTTCATGTAGATTTCCTGTTACCCTCCCCTGGCTGGGATTTCCTTGGGCTTGGTCGTCCTTCCTTGGGTCCTCAGTCATTCTTTTTCTGGGGGTTCTGTCTCTACCAGCATTTGAGAGTCTTTTGGGAGGTATTGGCAAAGTGTAGTTTGAGAACTAGCTCCTGTCACTGAGGAGCCCCATGTTACTTGATCAAGTAAAATCTGGAGGTGGGTTCAGAGGAACCTAATTACATGGTGCATCGTGCAAAGGGTAGCAATCCAGAGAGGCAGGTGTCAGCTTGCCAGGCTTCCTTCAGCCAGAGCCCGGGGGGCCTGCAAGCAAACTCAGCCCTGCTGTTAGAAGCAGTGTGATTAAAGCAGCCTCGAAGGGGCATGCAGTGGGAGCTGGCAGAGTGCCTGCCCTTCCTGCTGTGTTTGGGGTTTTTTACACAGTTGAGTTTTGTGTGGTTAAGACTGGCCAAGTTTTGCTTTCAAGGAGAGCCACTTCCCCAAGGGAATGGGAAGAGAGTCGTGGTTAATATGTCATGAGATCATCCCAATGGCAGCTCTCTCTGTTGTTGATTTGCTAGCATGTGCCCAGCTGGTGGCAGGGATTGGTGCTGGGCAGTTGGAAAAACGGGGTGGCATGGCAGGGTGCTGTGGCGTGCCCAGCTCCTCTGGGCATCAAGGGAAAGTTGGATTTGCTTTGGGGCCATCAGGGGATATCTTTGCAGAAAGAGGACTGGTCCTGTGCACAGAGATCAGCCACATACTCTGAAGCACTGGGCAAGAAACACAGATAAGAGAAAAGCTTAGGGGTTTTGCCCCTGCCTTAGAACAGTCTAATTATAACTCCTAACTCGGATGTGAGTCTCTTCCATTCCTTAGGCGTGATTGTTTTGTGCATGATGGTAGCTTGCTGCAATTTTGTTTTATGATTTTTAAACCAGAAGCCCAAGTTAAATGTTGATATCTACTCTCTGCATTTTTTTTTTTTGTCTCTAATTTGCTTCTCTGATAAAGTTAAGCTCTGAAGGATGGGGTATCTATTTCGTTTTTGTATCAATGTGAACATCACCAAGGGCTTCTCTTCTTGTAGGAAAGTACGTGATGGTAATGGGAGTGGTGCAGACGTGTAGCCCCGAGCCGTGCCTTCAGGCTGTGAAGATGACAGACCTCTCCGATAACCCCATCCACGAAAGCATGTGGGAGCTAGAAGTGGAAGATTTACACAGGAATATTCCTTAGATGACATTGGAACCCTTGCTAATAACAACCGAAATCCTAAAAAAATAAAAAAATAAACAACCGAAATCATGAAACAATTTAGGTTCTTATACCATGTAGATTTCACAGATAGCATTCCATGTACATTTCTCATAAGTTTCTCCAAGAGTTTTGCTTTGGTTGACCAAGGAGTCCAGAGGTAGGATTTCTAAGCACTGGGACACTTCACTTAACTCAGCCCTCGATGCCCCTTGCTTTGATGACTGTTTGCAGATGAAAAGCAGATGTGTGCTCCGTTGTTTTTTTTTTTTTCCCTTCCTTTTGGTTTATGTGTGTTAATTGCTCTTTAAAGCACGCAGAAATCTCATGTTGCATTTTCCAGGTTTTATAAGTGATGGTACTTTTTCCGTTGCTGCTGGGACCCTGTTTTTATGATGTCAAGGTTGAATCTCGCTCATTGCCCGTGGTGATTAAACTGTGGTTGTGGGCCGGGAAGCAGACCACGTGAAATGGGAATGACATCATGGCCCGCCTCTTCTCCCATCAACGACTTCCATGTCTAGCTTGCAAGTCAAAACAGTGTTTTCCAGCAGCCTCTCAAAGACAGCTCTCTCTGCTCTTGGGGCCTCCGAGCAGTTAAGGTACATTTCCTGAAGATACCGAGGGTTAACACCTGGCATTCTTCCTCACTTGGAGTTGTTGAAACACTTAGAAAATTTCTTGTTGAAACTAAAATCAAGACTGAGAATGACTTTTAGGGATTAACTAAACGTCTGCCTCGTAACTTCTGGTGAGATGCTGCAAGGGAGCAACGTCCTGGTGTAGAGGGTTTTTTTGTTTTCTTTTTTTCCTCCCAGTGTTATTGAAATATAATTGACATACAGCACTGTATAAGGGGTACAGCATAAGCATCTTAGAGTTCTGACATTTTCTGGGTGGAATGACTTTTTGTTGTAATTATATTCACTGCTCTCTTACCCATACCTTATTTTTCCCAAGATTGTAAATATTATATTCCTACATTCCTGTAGAGTTTTGTTGGATTATTGATCTTCTACCACTAATAAATTATTTTATATGCTGTATCTTTTTAAGATTTATTTATTTATTTATTTGAGAGAGAGAGAATGAGCAGGGGGAGGGGCAGAGGTAGAAGGAGAAGCGGGCTCCCTACTCGGAACTCGATCCCAAGACCCTGGGATCATGATCTGAGCCAAAGGCAGACGCTTAACCGACTGAGCCACCCAGGTTCCCCCTTTTTAAAAAATAAACTATTTGGGGGATACCTGACTGGCTCAGTCAGTAGAGCATGGGACTCTTAATGTCGGGATCATGAGTTCGAGCCCCACGTTGGGCGAGGAGCCTACTTTTAAAAAAATAGACTATTTTTTAGAGTAGCTTTAGGTTTATAGAAAAAAGCAGAAAGTCCAGAGTTCCCATATACCCCATCCCTCAGGTTCTTCTATTGTTAATACCTTGCATTGGTGTGGTACGTTTGTTATAATTGAGGAGCCACATTGATAAAACATCACTAGCTAAAGTCCACAGTTTTCATTAGGGTTCTTGCTTTGTGATCCATAGTTCTACAAGTTTCTCAAAGACATAATATCAGGTATCTACCATGATAGTGTTGTACAGAATTGTATCACCATCCTGAAAATCCTCTGTGTTCCTCCTGTTGACCCCTCCCTCTCCCTCAACCCCTGGCAACCGCTTATCTTTCTATTGTCTCCATAGTTTGCCTTTTCCAGAATGTCTGATAGCTGGAATCATATGGTATATAGTCTTTTTAGACTGGCCTCTTTTCACTTAGCAATATGCATCTAAGGTTCCTTTGTATGTTTTGGTAACTTGATTGCTCATTTCTTCTTATAGCTGAATAATACTCTATTGTATAGATGTACCCTAGTTATCTATTGAAAGACATTTGTTTGATTCCAATTTTTGCCGGTTATTAATAGAGCTGTTAGAAACATTCATGTGCAGGTTTTATGTGGACACAGGTTTTCATTTCTATGGGCTAAATGCCTGGGAGCACCAATGGTGGTCATACATAAGCCTGTGTTAGCTTTTGGGAGAAACTGCCAGACTGTCTCAGTCCATTCAGGCAGCTCTTATAAGACGCCATAGACTGTGGGGGTGGGGGTGGTTAAAGCCACCGACATTTAAAATTTTTTCAGTTCTGGAAGCTTTGGGAAGTCCAAGATGCCAGCAGATTCAGGGTGCCTCTTCCTGTTCATAGATGGCTGTCCTCACATAGTGGAAGGGGTGAGGAGCTCTCTGGGGCCTCTTTTATGGGCACTGATCCCACCCACGGGGGCTCCACCCTCATGACCTCATCACCCCCCAAAGTCCCCACCTCCAAATACCATCACGTGGGGGGTTAGGTTTCAACGTAGGAATGTGGCGGAGGGGACACATGCTCAGTCTTTAGCACTGTCTTCTGGAATGGCTGCACTGCTTTGTTCTCCTATCAGCCGCGTATGAGAGTCCTCGTTACCCTATGTCGTCACCAGCATCTGGTGGTGTCAGTGTTTTGGTGTTTTGCATTTGAAATTTTTTTTTCTGATGGTAGTTCTATTTTATTTTATGTTTTTAAACTTCTAAAGGCAAGGCAAATTGGAAAGCACACGGTGTTTTTATTACTGACCTGGGGTTGTGGACTGCTTGAAGCTTGGTTTCAAGCCAGCTTCTGTTCAAAGTTTGGGGATTTTTCAGGCACTGTTGCCGAGCTTTATCAGGAACTTTGCAGCGGGTGGACCTGAACATGAGCTGCTCATGTGTCGTTAAACTTGCTGTGTGACTGTGAGCAAGTTAACTAACGTCTCTGTGCTTTATTTTGCTCATCTCATAAAAATGCAGATTTCCCCCAGCTCCTGGCACCGATGTGAGGAATAAATGAAGATGCACAGAAATCACTTGTACATGCGCTTGGCACATGGCAGGCACCGAGTGATTGTTTCTGGGAGGAGGAGTGAGTTCTTACAGCCACCGACTGCCTTTAAAAAAAAATTTTTTTTTTAAGAATAATTTTAGATCTACAGAAAACCTGCAGAGACAGTACATAGAGTTCCCATATACTGCAACCAGTCTCCTTTATGATTAACATCTTACATTAGCATGGCATATTTGTTAGGATTAATGAACCGCCACGGAGATGTTATTATTAACTAAAGTCTGTACTTTATTCAGACTTCCTTCATTTTTTTTTTCTAACATCCTTTTTCTGTTCCAGAATCCCATCCAGGATACCCTGTTCTATTTAGTTGTCGTGTCTCCTTAGGGTTCCTCTTGGCCGGGACCGTGGCCCAGTTGCTTTGATTACACGGACATTTAATTCTGACATAGTCCATGGGGTCTCTGTTACAGGATCCTCAGCCGAAAACATGATTTCACCATTGTTACGGGGCTCCCAATAGGAGTCTTCGATCTGGGACCTACCCAGAAGTCTGCTCTCTTGAGCCTTCCCCCCTTCCCCGAAACCCGCTTTCCTGCTAGAAAACGGACCCCAGGCTGCCGAAAACCTTCCCCTGTCTCCTGTGCCGTTTGTCCTCACCTAACTTTGGTAAATAGTGCCTGGTTGGGAAATGCTGATTGAGCTGATAGGGTGGCCTGGGCAGTGACCTCTGTCAGGAGTGTGGGAGGTGGGGACCAGAGGGTGCCCGGGGTTTTTCCGACAGTCCCCGCGCCCTGCCTGTGGCTCCCAGGGGCTCCGTGCTGGAAGTGTGTCACCTCATCATGGTGGCCCCAGCCATTGTGGTTCCCCTGAATATTAATAGCTCTCACCGATTCATAGCATTTCCTCCTTGACATCACTAAACGAAAACGCATCTCAGTTGGGGGTTTTACTTTTCTGGAGCCAAATCACAGTTGGTTTATCAGCAAGCCCCCCCCCCCCCCCACTTCCCCAGCAGACGAGGGCAGGCTGTGTGTGCTCCTGCCACCCAGCTTCCCTTTTGAGATGGTCTCTTTTCTAAGAACTGAAAATAAGCGCCCTAGGCCGTGACTTCACTTTTCTTGGAACTGCTTTACATTAGAAGAAGAAAACACACACACACACACACATACTCACACACACACACCCTTCATTTAGCTGGTTTTGGATCAGAGTTCCCTTGTCATTCCTGCTGCGTCTTCTTGTAAAGCCGAAGTTTTACCGAAAAATTCTGATGCATCAGGTGAAGCAGGAAAGGGAAGCAGTGACCCCGTGAAACTGTCGAGGCTTCTTTGTCCTGGCCCATTCCGGTATGATTTAATGCCGGAGGAGGGAACAAGCTCGGATGGACACACTGTGGGGTGACATTCAGGTCCCCAGGGCCTCAGGCATGACTGTGTGGCCCTGAGAGTTGTCAGGCCACCAAATGGGCTAGGGCTGGTGTTGCTAAAGCCCAGGCCACAGTCCAGACTCACCACCGAACAGCTGCCTGTTTGCAAGGATAAGGAGAAAAAAAACAGTTTCAGCCACAATGACCTACATTGTAGCAGGCATTTGGAGAGTGCAAGAGGATGTCTCCAGGGAGCCCCTGCCTGCTTAGGATAAGGGAGAGAGTGCCTGAGCACACCGGGGCTCCAGTCCTGGTCCTGCCCTTTCCCCGCTAACTTTGGACTTGGACGTCAGTCCCTGGGAGCCATGGAGCTAGTTCTTCCCTCACAGGATGCTACCTTAGTAGGTTCGTGGGAACCTGAGTAGATGCCCCTTCTCAGTGGGGATCTCTGTAGATAGGCACATACATTGTTCTGAAATCATCTCTTAGTATCTCTGTACCCATCGGAGGAGGCTTTCCCGTGATGTGATCAGGTCTTACTTATCTATCTCTGCTCCAAGCAGGACCTTGCAAAACCTACGTGGGCTGTCAGCAAAGGTTGGGTGAATGGCTGCATTTTAGGTCGGAAGACAGAGGGAATCCACAGGGAACAATGCTCTTGAGTTTACACTTGGCACACAACAGTTTTCAAACAAGAGGAGCTCTTACAGGCCATGCCTAATGAAAAGCACCCTTTGAATTGAGCACCCTGGGTAATGTATAACTGGCCTGAGGGTGCTTGCTAGAATGTTGGAGAGAGCAGAGCGTTCTGAAGTACAAACAGGGACAACTTGATTTAAAAAAGGCTGGAGGAGTGCTTACTGTGTGGTGACTAACATAATATTAAAAAAAAAAAAAAGGCTGGAGGAAAAGAAAAGAGACAGCAGAGCACACCCCCCCCAAGGGCAAATTAATGCACTTTGGGCAGAATCTGAAATTACAGTCCTACGGGAATCAGTAAACATCTCTTGATTTAAAAAAAAAAAAAAATGCAAATTCAACCAGGAATTACATGCCAGGGACTGTGCTAGAAGATTTCCCCTATGTTACTTCATTTTATTGTGTCAATGTCTCTGGGACCTTCATTTCCCAACCCCCCGGCCCCCCCCCCCTTCCCGGTAAAGGGATGCAGTTCTTTGCCCAAGAGCATCTAGCCAGCAGCCTGTGGCAGAGAGAGGTGTCAGGCCAGCTGATGTCCCACGTTGTCGGGGAGGTGGCCATGGCCTTCATTCTGAGCTGGCTCTTCTCTGATTAAGTCCTCGGACCCACTCGGGAAGCTCCTGGTCTTTCCACTTAGGTGCTAGCTCCCCCTGTCGGCGGGCCGCAGACACTGCTGCCCTGCGCCGTCAGAAACGGGATGACCGCCAGGGACAGGAATGGAAAGACGCAGGACGCAGAGGAACAAACTGAGAAACTTCACAGCTGTCCACCCTGGGAGTTTTGCCCATCGTGGCCAAGCCATCTTGGGGGTGGGGTAGGGGGACAGTGTTGGATGGGTTCCAGTGGTCCTGCTTTTGAACCCCTGCCCTACTGCCTGTTAACTGGGTGCCCTTGGGTGAGTGGGCTTCACTTCTCTCAACCTTATTTCTGTCATCAGTACAGAAGGGGTGACTTGGGGTCAGAGAGGTGAAGTCGCTTGCCTACGTGGCTGTCTTAGCAGGTGCTCAAAAGATGGTCACCTCATTGGTCTTTCTATCACAAAGCACTTACTGAGCACCTGCTGGGTTCCAGGCTCTGGGGACACACACAGTGAACAAAAGACATGTGGTGGTTCCCTGT